ACGATAGAGCAGATCACGGTAAACCAAATCATGACAGAGCTTCTTCCATCACAATCCTTTATAATTGGCACTAATATAGATGTTCAATTTGGAGGTTTTTCTTTTTTTAATCTTCATAAGCCCTTTGTTGCCGGTATGCAATTCAATCTCACAAAAGAAATGCAGGAATAAGTGAAAAGGGAAAAATTATTAGGAGTTTGGAGCAAATTTTGGGACGTTGATGTCATGGAAGTTAGAGGTTAAATCTCCATACAACATTGGCTAGTGAGTATGCTCATATGGATGTCAACAGCCCTCCGGTTGCTCATGCTAGTGAGCATTCTCATATGGATAATACTCTAGTTTTTAATGAGGTTACCACTAAGGCGTCATTTGATAACAATGCTGAGATTGACATAAATGGGCAAACAAGCAAAAAAAAAAAAAAAAGAATTAACACAACTCTTGAGAGATAACGAAGACCTTTCTCCACTGCCAAATGTTTGAGGTTGGAAGCATCCAAAGAAGTTTCCTAGGATGAAAGCATATGAAGGACACAAAAAAGAGGGGAAAAAGGTTGTAGGAGCTGGCAATGCCTTTGGAAGTAGAGAAGGTGGTGCCAGAAGTAGAGAAGAGAACTCTAGAAGTGAAAATTTTGGTTTTGGAACAAAAAAGTATATCAAAGAAGAAAACCTATGTATTGTTGAGTGTGTATTTTTAACTTTACATGTTATAATGGTTTATGAAGTGTCTTTATTTAGATATTCAATATTTTAGGAACAAACATCTGACTTGTGAAACCAGACATCAAAAGATACAGCTACTAGCAGCAATTTAGAGTTGTTGCTCATCATCTGCAGCTTTAGGATAATTCTTTTGACCAGCAGATTTATTCAAAACATTTATCTGAGTTGAAAAACCAAACATCAAAATCATCTGAGCTAAAAAACTAGACGTCCTTGAAAGTTATATTCTTGTGGCTTCTTTGCATTCAATCTACTCTAAGAAGCTGAGGACTATGTATGATACAAAACCAACAGTGACAGGAGAGACAATAGATGTGGTTCAGCCAAGTCACGAAGAACATCAAGATTTTGATAACAATCTGTCTGCATAATATGAAGGCATTGACAGGTATGTATTCGTTGAGTATGTGTGATGATTTTTTTAATTTTCTCTTTCTTTATTGTCATATTGGTTACTACCAATTTGTTCAAGAGAGATTGTTGCAAGAACTTTTGAGATGAAAATATTCATGATTGATTCTTTACATATATGTGTCCTTTTAATTTATTTTGAATCGGGTGGAATTTTGTTATCATACAACCCGTTTATGTTAGCATCTCTTGCTATAGAACAGTTGCATTATTAAAAATTTGTAATGTACTACCTTAGGTTTTTAATATAAGAGCTATTTTATCTTCCAAATTTATAGAATACTCTCTAAAGTATTCCTATTGATTACGCATGTTAAAGAGTTTGGTAGTCATAATTAAAAAAGAATATTTTAAAAAAACCAACACATATTTGGGCCAAACAACTAGCTTAATTAATTTTTTTAATCCATGCTCTTATATTAAGAATCGGAAGTAATACTACCTCCGGTCTTTAATATAAGACTTTGTTTGACTTTTATTTTAATCCTAAATATAAGATCCCAATCCATTTTATCTATCATAATTATGTATTTTTTTTTCTAATATAGTCTTTTTAATAATAGTATTTCTAACCAATACACTTGATTAACAAAAATATTTTAGTAAAGACAACACCTATTTACTACAAATAACTAACTTAACTTATTTTCTTAATATCCTCAGATTAGTCAACTAGATCTTATAATTAGGACTGGAGGTAGTATCAAATTAAGAAAAACTTTACTCATCTACCTCATTGGTTTTGTCATTACTTCAAGCGGTTTGGATTTATAATATTTTGATTAGAATAAGCCTTCTTTTTTTTTTTGAGGCCAGATAGAATAATCCATCTGATTTCATGGCTGCTTATTATTATGCATATGTGTGTGTGTTTTTTTTATTGGATTGCCAAAAGGGTCATTTAGAAAAGGACAAATAATTAAAAGGAAAAGACTTTTTGTCTCTTTTATACCTACCTTCACGCGCACAATTCCTGTACGTCTACCTTTTTTTTTTCCCTTTTTTTTTTAAATTCCCAACTATTTTTTAAACCAGATTTTAATAATTCCCAACTAATGCAACATATTTTTTTTCGTATATAAAAGTGACAAATAGTAATAGGGATATTGCTTTTCAAAAGATCTCATATCATTTACAGATTATAGATTATAGTATAGGTATCATATCATAATCAATTTACATTTAAATTGAAATTTAAATATGTATTTCTTGCCGACAAACATACTCACACACATATATGCCTTTTTTATTTTACCATACGTCGATGTTGGGAAAATCATTTTAGAAGTAGCTGTATTTTCTCTCAATTTTTAATTTAGTACATATATGTTTTTTTTCTTAATTAAATTTTTAACTTTGCTCTGCAGTTGTTACTATTACGAAGACTACTAATGCTAACAAGAGTAAAATTAAATATTAAAACATATACATGTATGCTAAATTAAAAATTTTAAAAAATATAAGTAGTTGTAAAATTAAATGATTTTTCCGTTTGCGTGCGTATATATATTGAGGCTGCAAGAAGAAAATTGACCAACGTGAAATCCCACCTCTGCGCCATGCATCAAACTTTGAGCAAGAGATCTTTCGCCGCGACAACCGCGACCCTCCCTGCAGAACTCCGGCGCGGGTCAGCCGCCCGCTGTCGGGCAGTCAACACCGTCCATCAAAGTGAGTTTTGTTGTTATGTCAGAATTTTCTTTGATTATTTTAAGTTCCTCTCTATGCTTTTCTGTTCTTTTCGCCGTTTGGTGTATGTTTGATTATAGTTCTCTTCTCACCCAGCTTTGAAATTCTGATCTGCGCCTTCCATGGAAGTCTCTCCAAAGGTCAAGTAATTATCTAGACTTGTATCTATAGACATATATAGATATAGTAAATATAGATCGATATAGCTAGATAGTAATTTTGAGATATATATACACATGAACCCGATGCTCGTCAGTGATGATGAGTACCGTGTTCATCGCTGCAAATCCATACTAGTTAGATACATTTTTGGTTTAGATTTAAAATTGTCAACTAATGATTTTTAAATAAAAAATTATTTTTTTAAAAAATTACGGTTAAAAGATTATGTTTATTTTGGATTATCTATCTACTACCTCCAGTCCTTAATATAAAATCCTGTTTGACTTTTATTTTGGTCGAGACCCCAATCCACTTTGTCTCTCATATTTATATATTTTTTTTTCCAAAGTAACCCTTCTAACAATAATAGTTCTAGTCAATACACTTGATTAGTAAGGATATTTTAGGAAAAATAACACTTATGTAAGACAAATAACTAAATAAACTTACTTTCTTAATCTTCTCAAATTAGTCAATTGGCTCTTATAATTAGGACCGGAGGTAGTATTAGAAGAAAACATTTAAAAAAAACAAAAATATAAAAAAAATTACATACCAGCCGTTCATATTAATAAATTTAAACGGTTAATATTTGATGAGTAGCACGATGGTCATCATTTTAATAAGTATGAGTGACGAAAATGGTTCCATCATCCATGTGTGTGTTGGTTCCGTGTGTGTGTGTGTGTGGTGTCGTAGTCTTGCAATAACCTTCATACTCAAGAATGGCCTCGCTTCGTTGGAGTCATTTTCGCTTGTAAAACTCTGCTTTGAAGTTTGAAGATATCTTCCTGCCGTGATCTCTCGTCTTCTTCAAGGCTTTCTACACCAAATTTTAAAAGGAAGATAACAATAAAAGACCTAAAATATATAAAATTTTAATTTGAGTCCTTTAAATCATATAATCCGACCCAAACTTAAATGGGAGTTATGAAATGTGGTAAAAAGTTAAAAAGCCCTCCTGTTAGTTTAAGACATTGAAGATTTATTATTTCTAATTGCTGATTCATTATTTGAAATACTGAATTTGTAATTTTTATATATATGAACATATTAAGCTTAATTATTAAAATAACAATGATTGTTGAAAAATCTTTATTTAAAACTAATTAATGAGTCAGGTGACTAAGATAATACTTTTTAAAATTAAGAAATCAAAATCAAATTTTGGGTATGGTTGTAGAATGAAAGGGCACTACTTTTTTCTTGTTTTTATATTGAAATGTTGGGATATATATAATAAAAACTCTATATTTCGCATTTTTCACCGGAGTTTTAATGCCCATAATACAAATAAAAAGGAGTTTTTTGAAGAAAGAGAGATATAAGATACTCTCATGCATCTTTAAAATAGGGGGAAAGAGTGTGAAAATGAGGTTGGTGAAAACAATGCATTCCAAATTATTGATAAAAACATCTATATTATAATTTTAATTCTTAAAATAATATGTTACTAATAAGGAGGTTTAACAAAGAAAATGAACATTTAAATATAAATTAAACCATCTCAAACTGTTTTTGAATTTAGGATGCATGCATCATAATTACTACTAGCTATATATAAGTGTAAGAGACAAACAAAGCTTTTTAATCCCTTCCTTATGAGTTATGAGTATAAAAATACTTTGAGATACATATACCTTAAATGACTTATAAATAATCTCTGTCAATAAATATGGATGCACGTAATATAATTAAGCATTGCATACATATTTTCTTTCATAAAGCTTATATTTAACGTTTATGTAAAGAATTAATTAATTCATGACATTATCTAATTATTTTATATATCAAATCCGGGCGAAATCTCTAATAATAACAACATGATTATATGTATGTGATCTTTAGTTGCACACCCAAAAAAAAAAAAAAAAAAAAAAGAATTGTTCCATGAGCTTCGCAATCCCACGATCGGGGGAATTTAATTACTTCAACCACGCAAATATTTGAAAGAAATAAGTCATAATATGGTTATCATCTATGATTTGAAATAACACGTTTTCATATTAAGTTTTATATATTTTAAGTTTGTCATAATGATTATTGTTTCACATGTACTTACACAAATTATGCGAAATTGGGAATTTCAGCATTTGCAGCGAGAATCTGTATTCCCTCCCTCATTGGGAAAACCTCTGATTCTCCCAAAGCGTTTAAGGAAAGATATCATGAGTTCATTACAGCCTTAAAGATAGCAGTTTTCTGTAATGCCAAGTCAACAATGGCCCTTCATATACATATCATATATGTATGTATCTGTGAATCTGTTTTCTCAAGAAAAGTTTCTTCATAGTTCTTTCACACAGGCTTGGCTTTCAAGAGGTTTCTTTCTCTTTTCCTGCCCTTTTTTCTCCTCTGAACTGTAAATTAAGTTTTTTCTCTGTTAATTCAGTCTGATATTGTTTTATTCATGTATTACTATTACCATCTTCTTTTAGCCTTGGAACATGGAAAAGTTTTAAACTTTTGCTTCCAAACCAGAAGATATGGCTTCATCATGAATCTGGTATAAGAATTTCACTTGAAATATCATCTGGGTATGATTGAGATATATATATATATATATATATATGTTTATAGGAGAAGGTCTTTTTCTACATCAATTTTTTTAAGGCAGAAAAGCCGGCTTTTGTTTTATTGATAGTGCGGATATGTAGTATGCTTCTTTGTTCTTCTTATTAGATGACTGTTTTCTTAACGTTTGCTTCAATTTTGGACACTGATTATGTCCCTTTTTGGTAATGTTTCTAAGGAGTTTGATTTAATTACCGCCGTTAAGGCTCTGGTTCTGAGCTTCAGAAGTCACAATGGACAACAAGATGATGGGGATGAGCTTCAACAGATTCAAGACATGCTCTGCTTTATTTGCCATAGCTTTCACTGTACTGGTCATAATTACATTAACGTATCAGAACTCAATGTTTTATCTTTCTGAGGGTTTTTCAAAAGACAAGATACTACGAAGAAGACCTCACAATGTTACGACTATGGACTTGGGATTCAGAGAGAGTGCAAAAAACACATCAGACATGAATGGAACCTCCTCAGAGGTACCTACAATGCCTATTTTCTTCAGATTGTTTGGTTTTTTTTTCACTGTTTGATCCAAGTTCACACTCTTTATCTTTAATGAACTTGTAAAAGTCAAGGTTTCCACAGGAGGAGCTCAGTACTACAGCAACAGAAGATGGAGCTCAGAATCTTACAGGGTCAGATGAAGGTAATGGCATTTTTTCCCAGACAAAATCAATCTGTCAGCGATCAGAGTTTTCTTCCTCCACTTGCTATAAATTTTATAAGTTCCTTCAAAATTTATAGGATTCAAAAAAGCTTCAATCTCACATATCAAAAGTAATGGCACTGAGCAATTGTATGAAGGGCTTCTAGCTTCTGGGTTTGATAAATCATCATGCATAAGCAGGTTTCAGTCTTACTTGTACCGATACAGAAAAGCTTCTTCTCCTCACAAACCCTCTTCATATCTGATCTCCAAATTACGCAATTATGAAGAAATTCACAGAAAGTGTGGACCTGGCACCAGACATTACAACAGAACCATGAAAAAGCTCGCAAGGTTTAAGAAACAAAGTACTAATACCACGTGTAAGTACCTTGTGTGGACTCCTGCAAATGGCTTAGGGAACAGAATCATAAGCATGGCTGCTGCATTTGTTTATGCTTTACTTACAGATAGAGTTCTGCTTGTGAAATTTGAAGATGATATGATGGGTCTGTTCTGTGAGCCATTTCTAAACTCAACTTGGCTATTTCCAAAGGATTCCCCGTTTTGGAATCCAAGAGGTGTTGAAACATATCAGAGCATGTTAGCTAAGAACAGTTCACCTTCTGTTCTGCATCTGAATCTCCAGCACTCCAAAGAGGATCCTGAGAAGTTTTTCCATTGTGATCATAGCCAAAAGCTTGTTCGAAAAGTTCCCTTCTTGATTTTGCTGACAGATCAGTATTTTGTTCCTTCTCTGTTCATGATCCCATCTTTTAACCTTGAGATGACACAAATGTTCCCAGAAAGGGACACCGTTTTTCACCATGTGGGACATTACCTTTTTCACCCTTCAAATGAAGCATGGGGACTAATAAGCAGATTCTATGATGCATACTTAGCAAAATCAGATGAGAAAATTGGCCTTCAAATCAGACTCTTCTCTCCTCATTCCACCCCACATGAAGCAGTTATGGACCTACTCTTAAGTTGTACCTTGCAGCACAAGTTACTCCCAGAATTAGACACAAAAAATTCAGTAGATTCAACCCAAGAAAACTCGAGCTTGAAGGCTGTTCTAGTGGCATCTCTATTTCCAGAATATGGTGAGAATTTGAAAACTATGTATCTGAGGAAGCCAACCATTACAGGAGAATTGGTTGGAGTATATCAACCAAGTCATGAAGGGCATCAAAAGTTTCATAACAATATGCATAACATGAAGGCATGGACAGAAATGTACCTCTTGAGTCTGTGTGATAAGTTGGTGACTACCTCCCTGTCTACTTTTGGGTATGTGGCTCAAGGTTTGGGAGGATTAAAGCCATGGCTTCTTTATAGGCTAGTTGGAAATAGGACTCTGCATCCTAATCCACCTTGTCAGAGGGACTTCTCTATGGAGCCTTGTTATCATATTCCTCCTAAGCATGACTGTGAGGGGAACAGTATCAAACATTTTACTTCTTCTTTCCCGTACATGAGGTCATGTGTGGATTATTCCTCTGGAGTAAAGTTGGTTAATGTTTCCATCTAGCAACTATGCACCCAAAAAAAAAATCTCATTATCAGTCAATCAGTTATCACTATTCATGAAATTTTGTCTACTCAATATTTAAGTTGTATTGAATTAATAGATTTGAATTTTAACCAGAAAGTGGATTTTTGTAAAAATAGTTTTTCTTCATGAATGACGTGGTGTTTATTGAAAAGAAAATGATAAAAAATTGTCTAAAATGGCTCAAACATATGTAAAGAATGCTGGTGAAGAATATAAATTAGAGAGTATAAGGTCTTCTAAAATATGTCAGGATAAAGAAAGACCGAAGAGAACACTCAATCAAATTATTAAATAAAACCTTTAGGTTAATATTTTATTTAAATATTTAATTATTTATAGAACAATGATGTCATATAATTCATATAGTCAACTCAACCTGGTCGGATAAGACTTTTGTTGTTCTAGTTTTTTTATCAGTGAAATTGCTTATACTTCTATAAGGATGTGTGATTGTTTATTGTGCCACAAATGCTAGACTATGAGATGATCAAATGTCATTCTCAATTAAGAGATTGGACCACTTAGTAGTGTATATGATAACTTAATTAAACATATACCTTACTTCTCAAGCTACCATATTTCTTCGAAAATAAGAGAAGTGTTTTGTAAAGGTTATACATTATTATTGGGACAAAGACGCCCCTTACATGATTTGCATCATTATTTGTTTTGGCAGTCAAAGTGCTTTATAACATTACTGAACATTTTTAGAACATTATAAAATAAGGAGAGAGAAAAAATAACACTTCAATTTTGTTCACAAACCAACACCTGTACATGCTCTCAATATACTGTCCTGTCATATCTGTGTACTAATATTAATTATTCAATTTAAAGTATTTTTATTAGTGATAAAAAAAATATATGACATTCTTAGCTTATTGTGTATGGGGAACTTCTCACCGCATAAGCCAACTATCCCTAAAACTCTCATTAGTCAAAAGTGATTTGGGCCCCTCCCTTCACTTCCCTCCTTATTCTAATCCTAGATTATGTCTTAGGATTACGGACGCGCTTAATCTTTGATTTAAATTTAAAAACAATTATTTAATTATCAATTCGAATCAAATAAAAAATTTATTAATTTTTTTATATGATTTGATTGAACTCAAGTCACAGCTTCAGGTTGTTAAATAAAAGTCAAATCCAGAAAAGCATGAGTAGATTCCGCCGTTGATGACATTTGGCTGAATTCTTGTTTATTATATAGACACCACTCACATAACCCACTTGCATAAACTCTTATTGGTCTATTTAATTTTAATATAAACATTTGTACATATAATATACTCAATAATTTTCTTATAAGAAACAGTAACCATAGATTAAGGAAAATAGGATTAAACAAAAGAAATAACTAATGCTCCTCCGATCTTTAATATAAGACCTAGTTAATTAATTGGATTAGATGAAGAAAATTAGGTAAGTAAGTTAATTATAAGAAATATGACATGTTTCTCCTAAAATATCATAATCATCTTTCTTAATATCCTCCCTCTCTCACTTACTTGATTATGGTTGAAGGAGTATCCATAAAGGTAATTTAGAAAAAAATTGACAATTGAGAAATAGGTCTTATATTTAAGACCAAAATTAACTTAGCAATTAGGTCTTATAGTAAGGACCGGGGAGTAATAAATAACAGTAAATTTTGGCTTAAAAAAATATTTTGCGGGTGCCTCTACTTTCCTTGAAGTTGTAATTTAGCAATTGTAACTTTTTTCTCTTGACAACAAATCCTTTAATTTTACTTAATAATGTTAGTTCTTGTAATTTTACTTTGTTAACAATGTTCCGTTGACATTTTTAGCCCTCATACAGGGGCTAACAGTGCTAACAGAGCAAAATTAAAGGATTTAATCAAGGAAAAAAAAAAGAAAATAAGAATTTGGCCAAAGAAAAATTAGTATCAAATTAAAAATTGTGTGAAAATATAGGTTAAATTAAAGGGAAAGTATATGGACCTACAAAATATTTTTCCTTTTTTGCTAATAAGAAATAGTCTAATTGATAGTTGTACGCGTATTCAGTTTCTCATTATAGATGATTAAAACCATAATTTGAATATAAGCAAGTATTTTAAAGTGAAAGTAGAAAAATTCTATTCCTTAAGGGTATGATTTTAAATCTCATTATTTATGTGAAAACTTTGTTAATAATAATTATCTTTATAAAGGATCTTAAAACCATGAAGTCAACTTTCATCTTTTCATCTCCCATGACCCAATTCACTTAAAAAGAAAGAAAGAAGATGTGATCTTTGTCAAACACATAATCTTATTTTCCAAAAATAAATTTAGAATTCCATAAATTCAGACGAAAAGACTTGGGTTTAATCACTTTCTTAAATGAATCATGATTGAATTCAACTGCTTTGTTTATATAAATCATGAAAGCAACCAAATTTGGATACGTGGGACATAAGATAGACATGAATCAGACAAAACCAGAAGGCTCATCTGCAAGTTCTTCATTTACTTTTCCTTCTTCAATTCCTGTAAATAATATCTCAAATCTAAGACCCTTTTGAGTTTCAGAAGAAGAATCCACCTCCAACATGACTTCAAGATCATTCCCTCCTACTACAGATCACAATTTTTTCACCAAATACAAGGTCCTTTTCCTGGCTCTCACCATCTCAGCGTCTCTAGTGATTTTCTGCACAATATTTTACTTCCTTTACCATCTATGGTACTCCGCTGTACACAGAGCTAAAACGATCCCGTTTGATGCAAATTCTCCCTTGAAACTCCGGAGATTTTCTTACAAAGAGCTCAAGCAAGCAACTAATGGCTTTCACACCGAAAATGTAATTGGCAAAGGTGGGTCTAGCACAGTTTTTAAAGGAAAGCTTAATGATGGGAAATCTATTGCTATTAAGCGTCTAGATGCTTTGTGTTTACAAACACAGCAAGAGTTTCAGAATGAGCTCCAGATTCTTGGTGGGTTAACGTCCCCTTTCGTTGTCACCCTTCTGGGATATTGTATGGAGAAGAACAAGAGAGCTTTGGTGTTTGAATATATGCCTAAGAGAAGCTTGCAGGAGTCTCTCTTTGGAGATGAAGGCTGTTTGAGTTTAAGCTGGGAGAGGAGGTTTCTTGTAATATTGGATGTTGCTAAAGCTTTGGAATTCCTTCACCTTGATTGTGACCCTGCAGTGATTCATGGGGATATTAAACCAAGCAATGTTCTGCTTGATGAAGAGCACCATGCAAAGATTTCAGATTTCGGATTGTCAAGGATTAAAGTGGAGGAGGGTGAGTTTGATGGGAATATGTTTAGCCAGGACTTGGGTGATAAGAGTCAGGAGCTATGGAAGAGCCAAGAGTTTTCAGGTAATTTAACTGCTGGAAGCCCAGCCGCAGATGAGCGTGTTAATGAAGTAGATTTTGCCCTAGCTTTGCAGGCATCTTCTTCATCCAAGTATAGTAGGGTAGGTCTTAATGTTGGAGCTTTGAACTTGAATTCTTTGAATCATAATGCCTACATAAGTGAAAGTGAAGCAAGGACAACTAGTGTCAAGGGGAAGGAAATCTCGAGTATCGATATTGGTGGGGATGATCGGAAGAACAAGTTTGTTCCTTGTGATGATTATTTTTCCAATATTGATCATAGCAAAGAGTTAAATGTTAATGCTTCCTCAGTAGATAAAGAAAAGCCAAGTGAAAAACAACGGGGAAAAGATTGGTGGTGGAGACAGGATGAAAGTGCAGAATTATGCAGTAAAGATTATGTCACGGAGTGGATAGGGAGTCAGATTCATCCATCAAACACTGATTGGGATGACGAAAAGAACATTCATGAAGAAACAGAACTGGGAAATAAAAGTCCAACAGATAAAGTAGAGGATGTACATGGACCTCAATTTCAAGCAATGGGGACAAAAGATGCTGACAATGGTGCTGATGAGAACAAAGAATCAATGGAAAAGAAAGATCATGAGAAGCATAGGAAGATGCAAGAGCTGTGGAAAGAAGAGAATCTTGCAGAATCAAGCAAGAACAATGGCAACCTGAAAAATCTTCAAACAAAGTGGAAGCAAGGGTTTAAAGTACCACACTTTGGTTTGGATAGGAAGTTTTATCTCTGCAGATGTCGGAAATTCCAGAGGGAGGATCAGAATGACTGTCATCAAAATGGGGAATTTAGTTTCAGAAAAGGTTGGAGGCAGAAAGGAAATAGTCCCTCGATTGACAGCGACATCATGCGAAGTGGAGATCTTTTCAGCAGCACAACCAGCATGAGAGGAACCCTGAGTTATGCTGCTCCAGAATATGGTGGTTGTGAGGGGTTCTCAGTAGAGAAAACTGACATTTACAGTTTTGGAGTATTGATCCTTGTGATTGTTTCAGGAAGAAGACCATTACAAGTTCTTCCATCCTCATTGAACCTTGAGAAAGCTAATTTAGTAAGCTGGTGTAAGCAATTGGCACAATCTGGCAACAGTTTAGAACTTGCAGACGAGAGGTTGAGAGAAGATTATAACAAGGAGCAAGCAAGCTTGTGCATCAACATTGCACTTTCTTGCTTACAGAAAAATCCAGAATTAAGACCAGAAATTGGGGATATTGTTAAGATTCTAAAGGGGGATATGGATCCACCACCAATTCCATTTGAGTTCTCTCCTTCTCCACCTTTTAGACTGTACAGAAAATCATGAAGAACACAGAAAGGTACTGCAGAATAGCTTTTTTGTTGTTAATATTTCCTTGTTAGGCATTATTTTACTGTTTGTTTCATATTGTGCTGAGCATGAATAATTGAATATTTGAATACACTTGTAGTGTGAAATATATGTTGTATGTATGTTTGGTAACTTTCTTGGTGCTCTTTATAATGGTTTGGTGTGCATGATGATATTGATGGTACAGTCACTTTTGTCTTGCGTGTTTGTTGACTGGTCGTGGATATGGGCCAAGTCACAGACTGGAGACAGAACATTATTAACATGAGTCATATTCCTTTTGGGATTTATTTAGAATCTAATGTTATTTTTTTTAGGTAAAAAAAAAAAAAGAATCTAATGTTATTATATCTGTATCGAGCATTGTTGAACCTCACTGTAGATATCTCTTCCAACGCTTTTTCTTTTCATTTGCATGATTCAAGCCATCAACTTTGCATCCCGAAAATCAAGTCTATTTTACTCACCTTTTCCACCATTAGTTGCAAGAGTACTACCTTGGTGGCGTGATGTTTGGGTCATTATGTTGTTCTCGTATTTTTATTTGGATAAAATTATACCCAGTATCCCAATTTTTTTATAATGCACACAACACCCTAATTTTTTTATTTTAAATGCATCCAGTACCGTTCTTAATGTTTTTTTTTTTCAATTACATCCAACATCAAAGTCAAAATGCATAAAAAAAAATATCGAGGTACTAGATATAACATAAAAAAAAAAAAGGATGTTAGATGCATAGATGCACATGAGAGATCAGGATGTTAAATGTACCTTTATCCTATTTTTCTTTTTAATAAGACTGAATGAAATGCAAATTGCCTCATTTTCTAATATTTGTCCTTTTAAATCCCAACACAAATCATTATCAAATCTCTCCAATCCAGAAAATTCGGTGGTAAAAACAAACATCCGAGCATATCAAATCTCTTCAACTTAACATATTATGTGGCAATCATATCATCTTGATGTGCCACAGTCCTTTTTCCTTTCGGGAAAAAAAAATTACAATATCAGATCACATTGCTCGCAAAATTCTCGACTTCTTAACCTTAAGTATTAAACAAAATAAATAAATCAAGTTAATTAAAAAGATAAATAAACATATCATATTTATCTTATATTGAAACTGACAGAATCAAAGTTTTATTGGCTTTCAAATCAGTAACAACTAACAGAATCATTAGTCATCCTAGCCAGTATTGTTCCATGCATTACATTTTCTTTCATCTATTACTACTTACTAGTACTATACTACTCATGGGATGCTCAGGTCATATAATTAAGTTTTATAATTTGACTTCAGTAAGATATTTAAAACTTGTCAGCCATACTACATTTGGCTATGAAGGAGACAAGATCAAGCTAAAAGCATTATAATATTAGCTGGTTGTCATATTGTTATGCAGTTAATTACACATAAGATCTATCATCTTACTTCAAGGTCGCAAGCACAGCCACGTGATTACATCAGAATCAATACATAAACTATAACTTCGTATAAAAACACCAGAATATTCTTTGTCAATTTCCCCGAAAGCATATATTGCACACAAATGCCTCTCTGTGTTGATGTTTTTACTAAATTTAGGGTTCTTGAATCCAGTTCCATATGAATGTATAAGCATCATAAGCATATTTTTTCCTTATGCATCTGAATAGACAGACAAGTATACTCCAGTTGGAAAAGACAACCTTCAGGGTTCACCAATCAGGCCACACCAAACTTAGGAAGTTTGTCTATTGCCTTAGAAAATGCGAAAAGAGCAAGAACCCAAGAAAAGAAAGAAAGAAAGAAAGAAAGAACAAAATGGGAATGGTATAGGTTTGAAATTAATGTGGAGCCTCACAAGACAAAACCATGTCTAGAATGTCTTACAAGGAAAAGGAAATGAGAATAATGAATTATAAAACCCCAAAGAGGAACACATTTGCTAGATCCAACCAAATCCAAACCAAACCAAAGCAGAAGAAGACGTGAGAAGAGAAAACCAGGATCCCACAAAGAAAAGCATTGGAGCAGCAGAGGATGGGGTTGAGGAATGCTCAGCAGCAACAGCAGAAGCAGGAGGAGGAGGAAGAGGATGGACAAGAACAGAGACTTTCATGCCATTGAAGCATTGGCCATTGCCACAAATGAAGTAATACCTCTTAGCCTTATTAAGGGTTATGAAGTCTTTGCCTTTTGTCCAATTCCCAATAGCTCCATCCGTAGTGCAGTTGTCATACCCAGTTTGGTTCACCTCAAACACATTGTACTGGTTTTTCAGGTACCTGAATGCTACCCAAAACCAAAAAAATAAAATAAAAAAATAAAACTTCTAAAGAGCCTGAAAGAAAGCAATGCATAGAGAAAAGTATAGCATAAACTTTAAGAAAAGTAGTTAGAAATAAAATGAGAAGCTTCTTTTTCTCTTTTCAAATCAAACACATTATACTGGAGGTTTAGGTCTCTGAATGCTACAAACACATTGGCGGAAAAAGCGCCAGAAAAATTTCAAATTCCTAAAAGAGAAAGAAACTATTGCTTAAAGAATAAGCTAAGCATATCAGAATCTTTAAGAACAGTAGCTAGAGAACTACAATAAAAAAGCTTCAATTTCTTTTCTTTTTCCCCAAAAATCAAACATAGTGGTTGTTTTGGTGCCTACATTACATGGAAAACTTAAAAGCAGAATACTTAGTAAGTATAGCAGAAAGAGATCTTTCTTAAAGATGAAAGAAGAAGAAGCAGAAGCATAGCAGAAACCATCCTCACTAAATCCTTAAGCACATTAGCTGCGATAAAACTGGAAGGTTTCTTTCTTCTTACTCTTGTGGTTGGGAAGGAAAATGACTGGGATTCAAAAAAGGAAAGATACCCAAAAGGGAAAGTATCTGCAGATCTACGATGTAACAGCAAGGGATCTAACAAAAAGACACAGCATTCGGCAGAAAGGTGAAGGAAACTAACAAATGAGGTCGCCGACATAGAAAGTCTGGTTGTTGGCCCAAAGGGTGTAGTTAATGCCAGGGTTCCAGCCACGGTTGGCACCAACGATGTGGTCGGTGGCGGAGACGGCGGAGAGGGAAGCGAGGACGAAGATGAGGGCCAACGACAGCTTCGCCACTTGGCTTGAGGGAGTGGTCATCCTCGGCAGTAGGGGTGGAAACAGGCCAGGCGGCCTGTCAGGGGCCTACAACCTGGCCTGTATTTGACCTGGCCTGGCCTGGCCTGTTTTTCAAAAGAGACAGGCTCAGGCCTGTTTGAAGGCCTGTTTAAGTTAATAGGCCAGGCTTAGGCTCTCTAAAAGGCCTGTTAAGCCTGTTAGGCCGGCCTGAGCCTGTTAGAAACTTATAATTATAATATATAAAAAAATTAGTTAATGGTATTGTTAATGTGTACTTTTAATTTATTTTTTAATTTTAATATATAGTTAATAGCTTAGTTCTTCCTTAGATTTTGAAGTTTAGTTGACAAGTAAAAATAAAAATATAATTTAAAATAAAAATATCAATAAATAATATGATCTTTAAATCTTAAAAATATAAATAAATAGGAAAGAAAATTTTTGTTCCAAGAATGATAGATTAATTAACTTATGTATTATATTAATTAAATTATGATACTCTCTTTATTCATTGTAAAATTAATAGTTTTTTTTATTTATTTGTCTTAATTTTTTGGGTACTTAAACATAGTTTTGTCCCAAATTTTAACATATAATTTGAATTAGTTTTCAATAATATCCTTATAAATTGTAATTAAGATTTAAAACAGTACCTATGATACTAAAATTTAAATAAAAGACAAAACAAAAAAAATTAATTATTATATATACTTTTTTATTTTAGCTTTTTTCTAAAAAAAATATTGTAATTGAATTTTTTTAACAAACAGGCTTTTTAACAGGCTTCAGGCCAGGCCAGGCCTTTATACAGGCCAAGCTCAGGCTAAAAAATAAGCCTGTAACAGGCCACAGGCCAGGCTCAGGCTTATAGGCTACAAAACAGGCCTGGCCTGTTAAGAGTAAAGCCTGGCTTGGCCTGGTCTGTTTCCACCCTTACTCGGCAGCTAGCCTTCTTCCTTTCCCTGCTGGACGCCTCTATCTCCGACTATCTTCACTACCCAACTCTCTTACTTGACTCCGTATAATTACTGCGACCCTGTTTCGGCCCCACACTCCCACAGCATGCTATTATTGCACCATTTTTTTTTATTTTGTTTAACACTTCACTTACTAATCATTGGTCATTACTCATTACCCTTTTTTACTATTTATAAGTTTTAAATTTAGAGAAATTAAATATTTGGATTAGCTTTTTAAAAATATAATTTTACATACTTAGAGATAAATATATGAAAAGAATTTTATTTTTAGTTGAGTGAAAGCATTTACTTCTAATAGTTTTTAAAGCCCATTTTATAAGTTTCAATTTAAATTTATCGTAATATTTAATGTATTTTTTAAAATTTTCTTATTAATTATTTATTTTCTTTCTTTTGACATACTTTCTTATCATGTTTTTTTATACATTCTTTTTTATTTTTTCTCATTTACTATAATGACATATTTAAAAATAAAAATATTTTTCTCACCTATTTCTTATTTTTAATTTATTTTAACTAATTTTTTGTTATCAGTAAGTTAGTTATTTGAAATTTGTAAAAAGGACTACTAAATAAATATCATTACTGGATAATATTACTCTGTATTTTAATATAAGACTAATATTATTTTTAGTTTTTAAAATATAACTTCGTTTTAATTTTAGTCTATAAAATTTAAAATCAGTGACTTTGATCCTGGAAATTGATCTTATTTTGGCATGCTCAGAGATTGTTAGTTTCTAAAACAGTGTTTTTGTTTTCTAAAACAAGATTTCAAAAACCAAAACTACTAATTTCAAGTCTTAGGAACCAAAGCCAAAATTAAGTTAAATTTTATGTACTAAAACTGGTATTAACCTTTTAATAGTACCTCCTCGTTAAATTTATGGAGATTAAATTAGTTGTTTATGTAAATTTTTCCTCTTCTCAAAATCTACTAATAAATAGGGGTATATCTAAAAATAGTTTGCAGAACTTTTTAAAATTTCGAAAACAAGTCTTAAAAAAGGACCAAAGTTGGTGGATGGAAGTACTTCCTTTCCTTTAATACAAACAAAACATAACTTTTTGGGACAATGACAACAAAAAAATAAAATTTTATAAATACTAAATAAGAAATATTAATAAAAATTTGCTGTCATTTACAAATTCAGATATATCAATACGAAATAAAATTGTGTTATCAAATTTGATTTAAGATTTGTAATTTTCAGTTTTTTTTTCTATCATTCTTCCTAATTTTTTTTTTACCAGCACAAACAAAACATAGCTAGTCTCTTCATTTTGATTTATAAGATATTTTGGAGAAAACAATGTTTAATGTTTTTATTAATGACATTATTATAAAATTACCCTTCAATAATTAAGTCTGAGTTAATCAAGAGTTGGTGTGTCAAGAGTCGTCTTGTTACCTCAACGCCACACCAACACTCCCTTTAAAAATCTGAAATGGTGACATCAAACTCCCAAATGTTATGTAGGACGAGTAATTGTTGTGTGTGGGTCCCCCTTTCCTACAAAGAATTAGATAAGATAGTCCAAACAAATTGTATTTAGGGGTTATGTTAAATAAAAGGCATTTTAAAAAGTTTATATCTCTTTTCCAAAGAAAACTTAGATTTCTTACCAAATGATACTCAGTAGCCTTCACAATTTGTTTCCAAAACATTTTATAAATTAAAAAGGATGGAGCATTCACAAGAATTAAGAAAATAGGTTTCAGTTGCTTAAACTTAATTGATTTGTCTCATTTTCAAAATTTCTTACAAAAGTACCCCTACTTAAATAATGTAGTGTCTACATATTATTTAATAAAGATTAACTTTGGCAAAAGGAAAAAAAAAGTCAACATTAGGTCATTGTTCCATTATATTTTTAGATATCACAAGTTTAAAATATTTCATTTTAGTATCTTGTGACCCAATAACACTAAGCACCTTTTATTGTTGAACAAAGTTTGTGTAGCATCTACACATCATTTAATGATACCTAGAATGCATTATGTAATATTTCTCTCTATTAATAAATATTAATTTTGGCAAAAGAAAAATTAAGGCAACATTCGGTCATTGTTTCATGATATTTTAGATCATCACAAGCTTAAAATATTTCATGTCAGTGTCTTTTGACCCGGTAACACTAGTTACCTTTTACTATTGATCAAAGTTTATGTCACTCGATTAGCAAACCCTTGATCCCATTGTATCTTTGTTGGGACAAACTGAGATAGATAAAAACTTAAAATGGGGGGGGGGGTCTACATTAACAAAATTGAAAGATGCATAATGGTGATCAAAACCGAGCAGGAGCAAGCCAAAAAAAAAAAAAAAAGGCAAACAGAAGTTGGTATTAGTGAAAGAGAAAAGTGCACCACAAAATTGAACCTGCGTGGGAAAAAGAAAAAATTTTGAAACATATGGGGGGGGGGGGGGAATGAAAAATTGAGATAAGGCGAAGATGAGGAAATATGAAACGGGGATAGAGGAAGAGAAGGAGGAAGGCTTGGGTATACCCGGTTTCGTTTTATAAGCAACCCTTGCTGTTATCAACAATTAAATAAAAGAAAGTTTTTATTTTTTATTTTTTTATTAGAGAGATTCTATTTAAAATAATATGCAGCGCTGTAAATAAGTACCCCCTCCGTTCCTTATTATAAGAGACGAATAACTAAATTACGTTGATAAAAAAAACAGTTAAAATTAGTTAAGAACAATTAATGTATAAAAAGTATAATTTTTTTCTAAAAATGCTCTCATTAATAAGGAGAAAGAGCATGAAAGAGAACAAATAAATTATTAAAAGAAAGAGAAGTGAGAGGAAGAGAATATGTGAGTTTGAAACAATAAATATGAGTAAAATAGGAAATCAACACAAAAAAATAAAGACAACTTTTAAGCATATCTTATATATAGAAACATGTCATAAGCATCAAATGTCTCTTATAATAAAGAACGGAGACGGAGGGAGTAGCAAGAACAATAATCATATAAATGCAATTATTTTGCATCATCCTGTTGCATTTACCGTTTTGAGTAAGGCAGGTGATGAAGGGACGATGAGAGAGATCCAAAAGAGATGAAGAGAAATTGAAGGAGAGTGGAAATGCATACTTGAATCAAATGCATAAAAAGGAAACAAATCCGTTTGGGTAATTAGAGATATATAGCGAGCCCATCAGCGACTGCGAGCTAAATGAGACAAAGATGAAGAGTTAGAAAAAGGGTGGGATGCCTTTGGATGAAAAAGAAGAAATGAGGGCAAGAGACGAAAGAAGGAAAGGGAATGATGAGAGAATAAGAATAAGGAAATTTCCAAATTTGAAACTCAGGTATGCATAAATTTGCAGCAAGCCCTGTGCACGATGCTGCTATGAGCAGTGGAATGAGAAGAGCCACAATGAAAGTAACCCTGTACTATTTATCTTTGTTTGTTGTTTATAAAAAATTTTTTAAAAAATGATTGTTGAATTTTAAAATTTCATATAAGTATTGATTACTATACTGAAAAGCAAATGATAATATATTTTTGTAGTAATTCTTAATTTGAAATTTTAAAATTCAACCGTCATTTTTTTTAGAATTTTTTTTTCTTGTTGTTTATGTTGATTAATTGATTTGTTTTGGGCCTTATGTTGATTAATTGATTGATTCTGAAGTTATACCTGTTATGTAATATTATACAACTAGAAATAGAACTAATAACATATATTATATACTTTTTTGTGCAAATTAATTTTTAACAATCAAATGAAAAAACTCTCAATAAACACGTTTCTTAAAATTCAAAATTGTGCTTGCTTTTTTTTCTTGTTGTTTATGTTGATTAAGGGCCTGTTTGGGTATCTTAAAACCGTGGTTTCATAAACACTTTTTCGTAAAACGAGATAATCTCTTTCACGTATTTATTTCGTAATCCGTAAAAATACTTCTGAAACCAAGGTTTGATTTCTATCTACACACATAAGCTCCATAGAAAAAGGGTTCAACTGAGAAAGTAGCATCAGTCAGCCGCTGTGGCGAAGGAGGCGAGGGACACCGGAAGTTAGGGAAAGTCGCGTGAGCGAGAAAATGAGCGGCGACACGAAACCCAACAATGGTGGGAACGTCGGAGGCGGATTTAGGGCAAGGATGGATCACTATCTTTACAGTGGGGACAAGAAGCATGTCATGGTTGGCTTAGCTCTCATCACCGTTGTCTTCGGCGTCCCTTGGTACTACATGAGCAGAGGTTCGCTTCTTAACCCTCCCCCAACTACCTTTAATCATCTTTTGGATCGTAATTTCATTTTTCATGATTTGGGGGAAGTCAATTTTGGAAGTTGTTTGTAGATGGATTTGAATCTTCCTTCATTTCACTTTTGAGGATTGGGACGATTGCCTAAAGAATGAATTTCATTGTTCTGTGACTCTCTGTCTCCTACTTGGAGACACTTCTACTCAGTTTTGGACTGAAATTTATCTATTATGATATCTTTAAGCTTGAATCTTCAGGACTATCTCTTAACTTATTTGTTCTCTCTGTTAGGAGAAGCTAATTCCTTTTGGTTCATTTAGTATTTAGAAATGTGATATTGCCCTGTTGAGATTGAATTTTCGTCTTGTAATATTTCTTTTTCCTTTCTACCCCCTTTCTCCTGGCATAATTGATAGGAATGTTATTACGTACAATTTCAAGGTGCCACAGATGTTACAAGAAATAGGGTTTAAAAGAAATCTTTTTATATGAATGAACCTCAAGGCAATGCTTTCGGTCTTTTAATATGCTAAGCATGCATGTATTTTGAAGTGTTAATCATTTTTAAGCTGCTAATTAGGATGAACCTTTGGCATGGAAGTAGAATTTTGAACTTTGCATTTGCAATCTATATGCTTCAGTACTTGCACTTCTGGATTATGATTGCATAGATCGGTTCCAATTTTCTTGCATGTGAGGCATACTATGAGCATTGAGCATTCATTCTGGGAATCATTATTCATGAATCAACAAAGTGTTGTTCCCTTGGGATTCATGATTCATGAATCAACAAAGTGCTGTTGCCTTCTTACCTTTTCAACTTGTAAGTGCAGTTAGTTAACGAATTTTATGTTTATCATATTAATTCGTAAAATAAATTTGATACCATATACTTTATAAATATAAGGTGCCCGTTTGATGCTAATTTTGAATTTTAATGCTCTTATTGTTCCATCACAAGACAGTCCTTGCCTAATATTTTCTCTGGGCTATCAACTGCTTTCTGTAGATTAAGTGTAAAATTTTTCTATAATTTTTCGTAATCACCCTTAATCAAATTGAGATGAAACAGATTATCAGAGTGGTGAAGAAAGGGAATTAAAATAGGTCATAAACACTTTATAAATTTGTAAAAGATCGTGTATTAAGGACTGAGAATGGATCTTATAAATAGAATTTCTCACATGACAAAGACAGAACTTAAATCAGTGTGAGATGATATTGGTACTATTGGCATCTTTTCATTTTTAAAAACAACATTAAGTACATATGCAACCTAAAAACATACTTGCATGGAGCTGAAATGGATGATTCAGAAATTGTATCCATCCAATATTTGCTGTGGTCTACTATGATTAATCGATTTAGGTATTGTGTATACAAATGGTGCCATGGGGACCTGAAATTGTTAATTCTCAACATGCGTGATGCAGTTTACAAACCATAATGCACTAGGCTTTTCTGTCAACACCCTACAATACACTTGCATCACTTATGAACCTTGCATTATAACCTAATTTGAACTGTATAGGTAAGTAGATTTTTCCCCCCTCAATAGAAGGAGGGACTAAGCCCGGTACAATAAGAAATAAAAAATTCTCTGGGGGAGGGAACCCTAAAACATGCCTGAAGGAGCACATCCCTAATGCAAATTGGGACATCTCTAAAGTAACAAAAGGAAATTTTGTTCTCAAAACCCTGGTGTCCAATCCATCAGCAGATTGGTTATATACTCTTGGAGTTGAGAAGCCAATTCTTCCTCAAAACTGATAAATCTCAAAAATCGTTTAAAGAAAACATCAGCGATATGTACTTTCAGTATAGGATGGTGATGTGTGTGTGTGTTGTTCATGTGTCCGTGCATTGATTACTGCATAGTGGTGCGTGCCTGTTATTCGAAGCTTCTCTCTTGCAAATTATGCGGTTGTTTCTAGTCCTTTTCTCTTAGTTACCACAATTTTGACGAACAAAGAAATATACTACTTGGACCCATTCTATGAACTACACAAACTATCTTGTCCTTAGCAAGTGCTTTCTACTCTTCATGTTTTAGCACTTTCTATAACAAATTAGACATCATGAACAATCATCTCTGAACCTTCACTGATGTTTTCTTTACCTTGTTATGAATTATGGCTGCCTTTAATGTAGCATTCAAAGACGGTTGATTGTTCTGATAATCAAAGAGTTTATCCATGTCCATTGTCGTTCAATACATATACAGCCTACCGAGTCCATTGAACTTATCTGCTCATTTGTTGCCCTGCAGGGACCAAACAGATGTCTCATCAAGACTACTTGGAGAAAGCTGATAAAGCAAGGAGCCAAAGACTCTCATCTGGCTCTGCTAAGTGATCTTATACTGCATTTTTTTATGTAGCTTAATCAATAATATCCCAGTTAGACCACTTAATAGTCAGCGCTTAAAGGCGTTAAAGGCGTGACAATTTTTTATTATATCTCCTTTTTCTTCCTCCGGCTTTTTATACGGCAGAGATGTTCTTCTTTCTTGTCTGTCTTAGTAATGTGGTCCATGTCGCATTTCTCATTGCTTTGTTTGTTTGCTGCTGAAATATGTTGTTCGAGAGTACTGTCCAAATGTCTACACTACACGTCGATATAAAACTTGGAACCTTTGTTGAACGGGTTCAACTTCTTTCCTTTACCACTTCAATCCGCTGCCCCCTGCTGCTTCAAAACCACGCCGTTTTAAAGTTCTCGCCTCGGAATTAAATTGACAGCAGTGTGGAGCATAAAGACAAAGTTGGGAAAGAGTAATTATTTTGTTTTATTTTATTTTTTATGTGAAGACGGAATAACATGAAATTGATAAATTAAAAATATATGTTCTTTTCATTGAAAAGTTAGCTCTTTTATCTGCCAAAAGTGATATATTTATTTGGTATAAAATTATCGCTTTAAATTTAAGGTTTAAGGTTTATTTAGTGTTTTTTAAATGCATTTAATGTCTTAAAATATCTTATCAGTCATCTAATATTATGAAATATTTTTTTTAAAGTGCCCAAACATCTTATACTACCTCCGATTCTAATTATAAGAGTTAGTTGACTAATTTGAGGAGATTAAAAAAGTAAGTTGAGTTAGTTATTTGTCCTAAATAGGTGTTGTCTTTATTAAAATATCTCTGTTAATCAAGTATATTGATTAGAATTATCATTGTTAAAAATGCTACTTTGAAAAAAAAATATATAAATACGAGAGGCAAAGTGAATTTGGGTCTTATATTTAGGATCAAAATAAAAGTCAAATATGGTTTTATATTAAGAATCAGAGGTAGGAGTATTTTTTGGTGTTATTTTGTCCTTAAAGTATCAAGTTGTTAGGTGCATTTTAAGTTACTAGATGAGCTATAAAATACTCGAGTTGTTAGATATATCTAGGAAAATACTTTGGGTATTAGATGAACAACAAAATACTTTGATGATGGACATACTTAGCATCATATGAATTGTAAACCTTTTTTTTAATAAAATTTTAAATTGGAAAAATCCTAAAAAAATAACGGTTGAATTTTAAAATTCTAAATCAGTATTGGTTATTACATTTATTAAAAAAATGACTACATTCAAAAAGCAAATAACAACACAGTTTTGTAGTAATTCCTGATTTGAAATGTTGAATTTCAATAATTTTTTTTTGGGGTTTTCTCTTTTAAATTTATTGGTTGAATTATTTGAATTTACTTTTTTATTTTAGATTTTATATTCAGAACGAAAATTTTCCACCCTTTTTCTGATTTGAAAAGGTCCCAATTAATTTGTTTATGAGAGTTTAAATTGTATCTCAAATTGTTAACACCAAAAAAATTAGAATATTGTTTATTTAATAATTTTCACGGTAAAACTATTTTTAAAATTGTAGTTATTTAAAAAATTTAAATACTCACGTACATTTCTACTGAGGAAAAATTGATAAAGAAAAAAAAAATCGCTCAGGTTGGTTTAAACACATATAAGAAACACCAAATGGGACACCCGAGAGGAAAATTGAACACATGATGTCAATTTCTATGAAGAGAAAAGCCAAACACATTCAAAAAAAAAAGTTATCAAACACCACCTATCACATCTAGAGAGTTAATTGTTGATAGAATAATGTTGTTCATCTAGCCAATCAAACTTGATGCTTTGTTGTATACAACTCATTCCTCAAATGTGTCCATCTAGCTTTCTTTAAGATAAAATACTCAAAATCCGTGGCCCAAAAAAAAAAATTTAAAAACTTTCAGAGCAAGATTTAAATAAAATCATAAAGATAAAAATATAATGCTCTTCTATCATAAATATGATGCAGCAGTCATTTAACTTTAGACATTAATAATTGTGAATTCAGGGGTAATGTCTTGTTCACTTGGTCAGTGTCACCCTTTCAAGCTTCAATAATTTACACGAATAAAATATATTGTTCCTTGACATAATATAGCACCCTGCCTAGCTGATGGATAGACATATCCAAATGAAGAAAATAAAGTATTGATTTTCTTTTTGAATTTCATTCATATATATACAATAAGTCACTTGCTCACTCTGCTTCAATCAATTATTGATCAGATGAGAGTGACTTTCAACCTACCAAGACTATATGCAAACACCAACCACTCCATTCACCTTGATTCAACTTGAATTAGGAATCACACCAGCTACTGGATCCATATGATCGACCCGATTTGACTTGAATGAGCAAAATGCCAACCACCAAAGTGCATCCTACCAGATCGATCCGATCCAATTTGATTTGACTTCAATTAGTAAGGACACCAACCACTAGATACATCTTACCCGGCTTGAATTAGTTGAAGTTCAACATGGCTTCCGAAGATTAAGAGCCACCTAAGGGACGACAACAATATCAACAAATCTTATCTCACTAGGTGGGTTCGGCAGCCACGGGGTATGAGATGGAAATGATCAAATGTAGGGATTGATATGAGATGAGTAGTCACGGATTCCTGCTCCTTCCCATCCCATCCATTCTTCCCATAAATCCCAATCTGGATCGTTCATTCCTCTCGTTGATTCATCAATCCCTCCATCTTCATCATCACCATACATTTCACTTCCATTTGTTCCTCCTCTCAAATTTTCCATTACTACCTGCTTCCATGAATGTTTTCAACATCAGTTATTGATTTTCTTCAAATTCAACCAACCAGAAATGACATGTTCAAATCATAAATTCGACCAATCATAATACTAGAGAGATGTATTAAAAAATGGCAGATCTGTTTCACTTAACCATTTCATCACTGTTTTTCGCCCCAATATTTTATTGTTTTTTTCCAATATCAGTTCCTACAGACCAACTGCAAATTTGTTCAACAATCAGCTTCTATTCACTTTCTCAGCAGCTTCGTTTTTTGACATGAATATAAAACCGCAGATTAGTGAAATCTGATGAATCTCTAGTGATTATGAATATATGCATAAACTGACTGATCTTGTATTCAATCTTATGGTTCTGCAATGAGCAATGAATCGTACATGCCATTGATGCAATATTGAATATTCAAGTCATTACAAAAAGTTATGGCAATCACTGAACAGCCATCGAAGTGGAGAAGGAGCTACTTCAGAAGCAGTAATTTTCATTTTTGTTTTCATATTCCATGTGGTGCAGAGGAATAATAAATACTCAATTCAACGACAGAATTAGAATTCATAGAAAGATGGGAATATGATAACTCACATCATATGCCTCATTGATTTGGTGAAACTGTACCCCACAATTGCTTCCTCTGCAAACGTCCGGATGAAACTGATACACAATTTCAAATCAGCCAATCAATATTACAACTTTTTATAAATCCCAATAAAACCAAGCCCCACATATCGCTGGGACAAATAACTTTAAGCTCAACAAAGAACAATCCAGTTGGAAACCAAATATCAAACGTCACGTCTACATATAACAAAATCTCTAAACTTTGGAATAATATTTACGGCAGAAAGATTAAGGATCAAACCTGCAAAGCAAGCTGTCTAAAAGCTTTCTTAACCTCAGATTCAGAGGCACCAGGCTGGATTCTTAAGGTCTTATAAGGATCCATTACAGAAGAAGAAGAAGAACAAGAAATCTTAACTCTGTTCAAACGTTTCTGCTTCTTTTCACTGTCCTTGAATTGTATCCAGGGAGAACATGACCTATTACCACCAACAACTCCGGCAACAGCAGCAGCCATTGTAACTCGGACAGAAATCTCAAATCTCCAAAATCAGGGAAAAACTCACAAATTCCCAGAAAAACCTTTGGCTATAAATAATAAAGCTATGATCTTTTCTGAAGGAAGATTTTATTTAGAATAGATCAAAGGCCACGCAAGTTGATTTGATCGAGATGGCGGGTTTGAACCCTAAAACGGGGCTTCTTTGAAAACTCAATAATTGAGGAGTGAATCAATGGATAAACAACAAACCCACTAGAATCTAAAGAGAAATGCGAGATATTAAATCGAAGTCGAGAAAATGTGTTGATACTTAAGAGATAAAGAACAAGACTGGACCCTTTATGCGCACATGGATAAAAATTGCTGACGAAGAGAGAGATTCGCGGGCTTTATCCGTTTTGCTTCATTAGTGGTCAGAATTGGACGCGGAAAACTGTTCTTCCGGTTTATTTTGGGGAATATTCTTGTTCGGCCAGAATTTACTGATTCAACCCCTTCAATTGTATCCGGTCAAAAAAAAAAAAAACCCCTTCAATTGTCTGGAATCCTTATCTGTTCAATAAGTAACAAGACAGACAAAATTTGAGAGCGAGAGGGAAAAGATGAACAAAATTTAAGCAATCCTTCTAAATAAGTTGCGTCTATATCTCTTTTTTTTTTAATGATTTGAAATCAAAATAATACTTTCCGGCCTTTATTATAAGTGTTAAATAACTAATTCTCAAATAACAAATTAATTAGTTAAAAATAATAAATAGATTAGAAATATATTTTTATTTTCAAATATGCTCGTGTAATAAATAAAGGAAAAAAAAGGAAAGAGAATGTGAGAAAATGTTATAAGAGAGAGAATGAATAATTAAAGGTAAAATTGAAAAAAAAGTATTAAATATTAAGACAAACACCAAAATTTATAAAATGGATCACACCCCTCCCCCAATTTGAAGCTTATAAATAATACCAGAGGGAGTATAATATTAACAGATTGCATGTAAATGATTTTGTTAAATATGAATTAGTTGTTGATTCTGTATATGTGTGTGTGTATATAATGCTCATTAAATTTTTCAGTGGAAGTGCTCGGGACGCCTTGCCATAATAAGGGGATGTTTGGATATAACCAAACCATGATTTGAAGAATAGTTTCTGGAGAATAGATTCTGGGGAGAATAGATTTTTTGAAAAATAGATTTTGTGAAAAAGTGATTCTGAGAAGTGAGAGTGTTTGGATAGTTGTTACTAAAAGAACTTTTTACATGTACAAATTACTAAAAAAGACATAAGTTAATATGATAATTACAGAAAAAATATATTTTATGACATATTTTAATTTGAAGGAATAAAATTGTTAATAATATTTTTTAGTAACATAATTAATAATATATAAGATAATATAATTAATAAATAATTAATATGTATATATATTATAAGATATAAGACTAAATATATTTATAAAAAAATATGTTTATAAAAAAAACAACAAGATACATATCCTATAGGCTCTCATATTCTCCCTTTTTTTTCCAAAAGCAAAAAATTTTTGCTTTTTCCAAAACCATGGTTTTGGAGCCAAAACCATGGTTTTAGGTTTTTTAAGGGTGTTTGGGAGATTTTTCCCCAAACCATGGTTTGGGTTGGAACCCAAACACCCCCTAGGTGTGGGAAACATCACCGGGGCCAAATTTTTTCTTTTTAAAAACAAAAAAAGAAAAAAAAAAAAAACGACACAGATTAATGACCCCTAAAGTGATTAATCATCCGTGAAACTGCTCACGGTCATGCCCGCTGAATCATTTTTCCATTTCAGTATCCTGAATATCCAAGCTTATGTACAAAAGCAGAACTTTAGAACATACAATTCGCTCTTGAGAATCGACATCATGATTTCTAGATATGAAATGATTCCTCTTCCTTCTAGTGGTTGCTTCAACAGATTAATGGCTATCCGGCCTGACTCAGGCCTAGATTTCTTTTCCACTTAGATTCTGATAAACCTTTTATCAGGCTTGGACGGTTGAGCTAGATTGGTTGGTCTAAACTTCTTTCACCATTAGATGGTTGATTTAGACTCTCATCAGCCTTGCATAGTTGAGCAGATGATGGAGGGTTGTCTGTAACCGGGTCATCTGGACTCGAAGGCTTGAACTGAACCAAGATCATGGTCATGTTGTCACATCCTTCGCCACCAGCCGTAGGCGATAAGCACCGATCAAATACTTTCTCGCAAACTGCAGAGAGTTTATTCTCCTACATAGAATGGGTAAATGTGTTACAACCAGACCATGAGATTTGTACTGTTTTAGTAGGTTTTCTTATCCAGAAAAATACAGCGTCCCGTTAAAAAAAAAAAAAACTTACCGTCTGCAGCTGTAAATGTATAAAATCCACAAGCTGTTGGCTTGACATGCAATCCCTACACAAACATCACGCCCAACGGTAAGGGTTATAGAAGAGGAAGGAGTATCCTATACCAGACTTTAAGAGCTCGCTAGGTTATAATTATAAGAACTATTCTGTTATCAGAAAAGAAAAGAGCAGCCCATCTTGATTTCTTAAATATCCAAGAAACAAAAAGGCAGAATTCTCTGAGAAGAAATGTTCCATAACGAAACAGGACATCAAAATCAGAAAAAATGTTCAGAAAGTAATAGCTGCTAGATCATATGAGAAAGGACATTTTAATTGACTGTTGCTGTCACAACATTATGTTTAATGTGTACTAATAATTTTAGGCGGCTTGCAAAAATGGAAAAAGTTACAAGTACTGAAAATGGTTGTAAAAACATGTATATATCTATTATAGGCATATTGCTATGTAAATGAATTAGATACTGTCCATGGACAAAAGAAGAAATAAATACTGTCAACAGACTTTCTAGAGGACATTTCAGCAACCAAGTAGCTTACCATATCCCATCACACGCTATCACAAGAAACTCATCATCATCGCAAAGCTCAACCTATAGCAGAAAACGTTTTAAAAGTTTGAAGAGTAGAAAATTACAGAAGGAAAAGAAAGTTGTTAGATGACAATAGCAGAACAATATATTAATTCTATGAAATACGTATAATCTTAAATAATGAAATTCACTATTTTTGCTCAGATAAATATAACTTGTATCAATATAACATGACCAGAGGAGCATATCAAATATAATCATTCCAAATCCATCAACCTGTTAATAAAGTATAGCACTATATACTTGCAGTACATACAGAAGTAATATCCGGATCAGCAGTGACAATCTGCTTTTCAGCAGGCAAAAACTTGTTTTGCTTAAATTCCATGTCTCCTGTAACATAAGCAATTTCATACTACAGAAGTTAGGGAGAAAGATGAAATCTAATTGTAGATTAGGTAATAAAAGAGTTTCTCATTGTTTCCTTTGCATCAAGCATTGATAAATCATCATAAAAGGAATTTTGAATTACCAATTGCTCTGGCCAAGTTTAGACTTCCATTAACTCGCCCAACTTGTATGAAACCACCAGCTTTTAGAATCCTATCTCTCTCAACTTCAAGGTCAGGCTTGTGGTCTTTAGATAAATTATGGGCCTACGGATAAAATTTCATGAAAGAATCAGATAACAGAATTATACCAAACAATAGCTATGTTGTAGGCACCAAGTCATAGACAACAAGTAAATTTACATGATTCAGCACAAACCAAATCACATGTATTGGGGGAGAGCGAACAGGAGAAAAGGCAGTCTGGACTCTGAAGAAATATCTGATTTTGAAATCATTTCATGACATAACCATCAAGTGCAAATACATTTCAATGAACACGCTTTTCCAAACTGTTGCAAAATGTAGTCATGACAAAGTTCAAAGTGAGCAAGTGCGAGCTGGACATTCTGCTGCTAATGGCTGGACAAAAATGTAAGTTGGATGTTCAGTTTTGTTGAATGGCTCTAGTTGGCATGGAGGAGTAGATGAAAATGGATCATGGCTTTTGAGCTCCTGCAGTATGCTGAGTGCTAGTCCTCCAGTGATTGCAGAGATTTTTGGAATAGCAAATTTGAGTTATGGTGGGAAAGAGGCTTACGCAAGGTTGAGATTTACATTGATTGTGCTGAAGCAATCAACTTATTTAAAAGAGATCAGTTGCTCCACCAACCTTTTAAAGATATCATCAATTATACAGGAAATATTATCCACACAGACTGGAATATTTCTGTAATGTTTTGTAGAGGGAATCCAATTGCATTGCTGATCGTCTGGCTAAAAAAGGAAATGGTATGCCAAATTCTTCTGGAGTCTTTGATCAGCCACCACCTTTTATTAATGAGGTGGATAATGATGACGATGAGATGTTTTATCTTCTTGGTTTCGTTTTGTATCCTATGTACTGATTTTTTTTAGCTACAATAGTATTCAGCGTTCATTTTTATTTTTAAGAAAAAATGTTGTAACATTATATGTGCATGAAAAATAGTCAATTAACTTGCAATTTTATGGCAACTAAAAACAAATTGTACACAGCAAATTGGCTACCTTTCTGACTTTCTTATTCTTTATATATCTGGTTTCTTCTTCTTACTCTTTATATCCTCTTTCCAAATTAGTACACTCATCAACACCTATTAAAGCATGCATACTTTTTAATATATCATGCACCTATGTCCTCTGTATCCAATATTGCATGCAAATTAGAAATAAAGTAAGAAAAAGAAATACTCAACAAGGAGAGGCAGTACCTGGCCCTTCCTTGATATTACACAGCGAGAATCACCAGCATTTGCAACTACAAGTTGGTTGCCTTGAATGACTGCCACACAAGCTGTGCATCCAGAGCTTGGTCCCGTAAAATCAGAATGCGGTCCCTGTTTTGTATCATTGTACACCCTCAGTTTCAACGGCAAATATTTATCCACTGGGGATCAAGAGGGAATATGCCCAACATGACAACACAATTTTTTTTTTTTTTTGGAAACAGCTGATAAAGACCCCCAGTCTAGAAAATCATTCTAAAAGTAAATTGCTGTCAAATTGCCACATAACATACAAACTATCAACTTATAAATGCATAAAGCTCCACACCCATATGATAGACATTTAGAAAACACTGGAAATAAGCAGAGACATCAAAATATTAGGACACCAAATCCGCAGAGAACCAAATGATTTAAGGAGCACTGGTGGCAATTGGAAATAAATTAGATATTTTTTAGTTTGCTTAGTAAGCAACTCCAACAAAGATGGTCCTGCAAATAACCAAAATGAAATATTAAAATCAAGAGACACTAATCTGTCAACTTCAAACTAAAATGGTTTCAATTCTAGAAATTTTTTCATTCGTCTAAAAAATATTTTTAAAAAATGCCAGAGTGCTCTGAAAAAAAGTGGTTGACAATCCATTCATGTGTTACATATGATAAAACATGGAGCAGATTATTGAAATTTCCAATCCAAAAGTTTATATGCTTAAATGCCATGTTTTTGGGACTAAAATCTTCCCAAAACTGCATGTCCAATAACAGAATAAGTAAATCAAAAAATTAAGGAAAAGAAGAAGTTGCTCAAGTAAAACAAATGCAGTCATTATTTGTTACCTCCTCAAGAACCCAGTCATCAGAATGGTCATTGCCGTCACCGCCCCTTGGAGACCATATAAAGCCCTCTAGCATACCAGACAACTTTTCTATATTATCTCCCAAGACAGCTAACTCTCTCCACCCTCTTTGTCCACGCATCATCTCATCCATTCTGGTTCAGTAGGAAGAAAATGATACATGTGAGTGATAGAGACCAAAACAGAGAGCTAAGAATTCTTTTTCAAAAAAGAATAGTTCTTACAAAGAGCAGGAGAATAAGAAACTCCCTATTATTTGAGATGCTAGAAACCCTACACTGTCCGAGAATTTACCCATACCTCTTCTCAACTTCCCCAAAACTCTATGTGACAGATATAACTGCAACCATTGCCCTACCTAAAACTATCCAAAACTGTTATGCAACACTGCAACAGCCTTACAATTACCAGTCCGCTGCCAAAGCAAGCTGGCACAAGTGATTGTAAAATCCCAAATATCATTTACATATTTACATCTCCCCTTGCGTGTGGGTTCAAATCCCCCCATGACAGCTCAAATCCTGCATTGGCAGCAAATCTAGATTCGGAGATCACCTACCACCCAAGGGCCAATGAGTCTTTGTGTGGAGCCCTGCCGGTGGTATAGGAGTGTCATCCCTAATATTTATCTTTCCCATGAGGGGGGGGGGGGGACCAGTCTGCTGCCAAAGCTGTCGATAAACCACCCAAAATAGCTCCAAAATGCTGGGCCCATTGGTAAGGAAAAATGTGCAACATTTGATTTGACTAAAGTATCTACGTCTGCAATTCATAACCGTATCCCCATTCCAATCATTGTAAGTGCTTAGTAAATTTACGATCTATCAAAATTCTAAATGTGTAACTAGGTTTACCTACGGAGAAAAGAAACCCAAGCAAATTATAAACTCCATTGTTTGATAGAAACCACAATTAAAAGTTCAGATAGATCCTTTTATCAAAGAAGAATCAGATCCAACTGCCTCAAAAATATCATCTAGAAGGCTCTTCACATTCAAGGAGAGACATGTAAATTCAATTTCTTAAGAAATTATTTGTATAATACTGTTAATTTGTACATTCTACACGTAGTATTTGAGTATGAATAATTGACAAATTTGGAAATAATGGAGCTATACTTTTAAAACTTTTACGTAGTATCTATTGAGTATAATGTCAGGTTACATTTTTATTTGCATTGTTAACAATTTTTATAAGCTCTTTGATCTGTTTTGAAACATCTTGAGAGGGGGGAGGGGGTAACAAATGTAAAGATGTTGTTACACATACCACGAAGTATAAGGTGCAACATAGCAGATCATCACGGAAAACAGCGGAACACAATATGATGAGAGTTCAGCCTAGGTCTAGTTAGTAAAAGGCAACTACCTCATGATGCCATCCTTGGGATTTTATAATTAAAGAAAAGAAGTATCGAATATTAACGTAGATCATAAACAAAACACAAAGTTTAAATAATAACCTGAGAAAAGTTTTCTGCAAAGATGTGCCTATATCTCCAGCTACATAAGCTTCATTCTTAAGCACCTGTCGGTGCAGATATTTGGCACAAAATTTAGCAACAGCTTTACCTGAAAAGCAAGAGATTGTACAGAAGACCTCAAAATCATATAGTGGACATAAGTGTGCCGGGCATGTCAACCTACCAAACTAAGCATTTTAGAAAGCTATAATCACTAATCAACAGTAATGAAATCTGAATTCTGAAAATAATTCATAGCAGACAAAGCATACAAAAAATATGGGAAAATGTTTCTTTATTGTTTTCTTTTCATTTAGATTTCTGCTATACAAAATCCAAAACGTGAACCAAAGGCCCCCAGGTTTACTGATACCCAATCAGACCTCAGATGATTAAGAGCGTTATGACACTGTGTGATACAAAGAGGCTGCAAGAATCTCACTTGTCAAAAGTGAAATTACATTAGAGTTAGAATTATAGAAACCAAAATAGCACTGTCTCTGCAAGGAAACTCTTTGAAAAGGATAATTAAATTATCAATTTCTTGCAGAACAAATTCACAAGCACAAAAGAATGGTAGAAGGCAGCCATATTCAGGTGAAGTATTAAAAAATCCAAAATCCCCCCTCCCACTGGCAGTATGAATCTATTCAATAAAGAATGAAAAGATCAATTTTCATGCTGAATCAAGCATTTGATACTCCTCCCTTGAGGCAGCCAGCTTGCTATGCGATGAAAAAGATTTCCTATTTATAGTGGACATAAGCAGCTCCAAATTATAAGAGAAAGGTCTAAATAATTCAAATCACTTCCACTTCAAACAAAATTAATGATAAACAATAAAATATACTACCTCTGGGCCCATTTATAAGAAAACTATAAATTGTTTCTCATATATAGGGCTGGAGATAGCATTTGGTAATGCTGAAAAAAACCTCCCCCAAAAAGTACACAGCCTTCTAAAACTGATAGATTGAAACATTGAATAATTTGAAAAGGATTATATTTTTAATCATTTAACAACCACTGTTAAAAAAATCATAATGAACATACTGACCTCCATGGCCGTCATAAACACCAAAGAAAGATGTTGATTCGTCCAAATTTAGATGGGCTGCATGCTGGCAAGCAATATAAAAGAAGAAAATTTTATATGCACCATCTAATAGATTGTAATTTTGTAGTATAACATTAGACTACTGATTTAGCAATGAACCCAGGCATTTACAGACTATCAACATCATGCCTATGCAAGATTCAATTCAAATGAGAGGCATTTTTCGAGTAAGCACATGTAAAAAATGTGGAACATTTTATACATTATCACGTTTGTAGCAGTAGTTGATTAAGAAATATTATTACTAATATGCAACTAAGATGCGGTCCTTTTGCTCTGTTAATCACAGCATTTTAATGATGGAAAAATTATATGCAAGTTCATAAAACAAACATAAAATCCCATATCTTTTACAAACTTTCCGATGCAATTAATGAAACAGCAAATCAGAAAACTTCTAATCACGAGGAGTTTAATTAGATTTAAAAGAAAAAATGTGTTTAAAGCTTTTAAGCCAAATCCTGTAAATAAGTATTTTGAACGGGTTAAAAAGACATATCTGATCAAGTGTATTGCAAGCTCATTAAATGCCATATAAAAACCCTTCTCAATAGTCAATACAGTTAACAAATCACTCAAAAAACTTACTCTAAGCAGACAGCCTATCTCGAAAATGTATTTACTTTTACCAACAATATATTGTTATATTATAAGAATCATTTTAATAGTACAAGATTGTGTAAATTATAAATGAACCGATTTATTGAGTTATGTAATTAGAATTATAAATCCCAATAATATCATTTAAATCCTATTTATCCTATTTATATCACATTTAAACATTTTCTTATTTATAATTATAAAGACATAACATATTGAGCCTATCTTATCAGATCTTCATATGTACCTTATCAGATCATAAGTTTCATATATCACAGTGCCTTTAATGCACGTGATGAAAACAGAACACCAACAAAAAATCACAGCAAGGACCAGTTAACTGGTAGGATCCAGGCGCATGATCAAAGGATCGATGATAGTAACTAAGCTAGAACAACCTATCTGACTCCAATTTTATCTTACCAGGAAAAAAATAATTTTTCCCAATTTTCTAGCAAGTTCAGATTAATACTATTTCAGCCACAATGAATTAAATTGTCAATCGACCTCAGGATTTTCCTTTTCTTCTCCACTTGATTAGTAGGTCACTGGTAAGACAGGTTCTAAACCCACTATACTTTCTCCATGAACTTGATTTATGTTCAAGAAAAGGAAAATCCAAACTCATAATCGAGGCAATTAACAATTAAACATTACCATATGATATACCATGTCAAAAGGGCGGACAAGAAGCAATGGAGCATGCAGTTACACGTTGAAAACAAAAACACATTCTCATACAGAAATAGCAACTGCTATTTCATGAAATTAAACGAGTCAAGGGAGTGCTTACAGCATCTTCCATGGTAGCACGCCAACCCTGCATGGAAGACAAACCGTAGCGAAGCCTGTCATTCTCACCATCATCAGAAGCCTTATCTGTTTTCGGGGCGCTGAGGTAAATTCCCATCTTTAACTGCAACCAAAACGGAGTAAGTGAGTAACAAGGAATTAGACGCAGACTCAGCAAGAAGATTACTATGGATCCGCTCTGCTTTATTTTTCTGTTTAAAAAACCAACAAAAGAAATTCCAGTGCCCCAATATTCAAGCAGCGACTTAATTGCCAATCACTTGTTCAAATCAAACCAAGCAATCCTATATCCAAGATATCTAAAGCCTCAGAATCTCAAAAACAAGATTTTTCCACAAAAGAAAACAAAGGAAACGAATAGGCATTAGGCAGGAAATATAAATGTCAGAAGATCAATTCCAGCATCCAATCCATAAAAAAATCGAACTTCAGAACGCCAATGACTGAAATCACCATGTACAAACAAAGAAAGCTTTCACAATAAATCAAAATGAAAAAGGGGAAAAGCACAATTAAGAGTTCTAGGGTTCTAAGAAGAGAAGGGAGTAGGCATACAGAGTAAGCGATCTATCTTTCAGGTGAAAAGATGAAACAAAATGAATGATCCCAAACAGTTTCAGTTGCTCTGGCTCTGACGTCGGAGAAGTAGTTTTGTGCTAAACCAGCGGCTCCCACGCGCCGTGCACGTGCCCCTTTTTTGGGTCCCAAAAAGAAGTCATTTTCTTCATAAATATCCTATCCAAAACTTCTCTCAATCTTTTTTTTTTTTTTTGAGATAAAAAGATTTCTCGTCCGGGCAGCGGTAAGGCAGTAAAACATTACTAATGAACACGGAATGGCTAGAAATATTATAGGGAAAATTACTGTAGAGTCTCACAGAAGAGAATTTACTACTGAAAGGTCCCATGAAATCATAAAATATATATGAGGTCCCAAGGGACTTTATAGCAAAAAATTTCAAACGTGCAATTACTTTCTTGCCCTTCTGATTAAAGAAAGAAACTGAAGCACACGATTGAGAGAAAAACTCCTATCAGTTGTCATCTTCATGAAATCCGCCGCCGTCTCATTCGTGTCCATCCTTGTGTGCTCCGACAGCTTCAATCTCTGGCGAGGTCTGTCAGTGTCTGCTCGGTACATTGTCGCTCGCTGCTCCGCACTCCGTCGGTCTCTAGTCTGCACTCAATCAGTCTCTAGTTGGACGCCTCCAATCTCGTGCACGGTCCGTCGGTCGCTGGTTCGCACCCCACTACCAGCGAGCCTCGTGGGTTCCATCATCGATGACCTTCACACCCCACCGCCGGCGAGCCTCTCTCTCTTGGTATATCATATTGATATTATCTATTACTGGTATATTTAGGTGAGGCGCTTCTCAGTTTCAGAGCAACAATTGGCTATTGTGTAAGTTGTATTATTTAAATTTCGAAGTAATGTTGGCTATTGTCAATTGTTGTGCATAAGTTGTTATTACAGTGATCGAAGGTTGTCATTAACAACCCCATGACCTGTCCTGTTATGTAGGATGGAAGACTTGTGTAAGTTGCATTATTTAAATTTCGAAGTAATATTAGCTATTGTCAATTGTTGTGCATAAGTTGTTATTACAGTGATCGAAGGTTGTCATTAACGACCCCATGACCTGTCCTGTTATGTAGGATGGAAGACTTGTTCGAAGGTTCAGATGCATTATCCATGTCTCCACCCAATGTGTTTAGTGAAGACCTACTATCATTGCCATGTGGTTCAGAAGTGATGTCAACCCCAATTTCGGAAAGGAATTCAACAAAGTGAAAGGGTCTGGTTATTGGAGAAGGATAAATTTTTCCTAATGCAGTAGCCCTTAGACAAGCACTATATAGGTACAGCATTGCTGATAAGTTTTCATACAAATTTGTTTGGCCCATTGCGAAGGTTGTTAGCCACTTCTCTTCGGGTTGTCAACACCCACTGTTGAGGTTGTAAATGAATTGCTGTAGTAAAAATCTATTGTAATCCTATTGGGTTCAATTAAAGCTGTTAATAACTTTAAAATGCTCTTAATTTTTTTTTAAGGTCGTTATATATGCTGATAATACAATCTATTTAGAAGCTGTGGCATTCCACAGAGTGATTTGTCAGGGACACTGCCCAGGTTGTTAACCACTTATCTTCGGATTGTCAACAACTCCCGTTGAGGTTGTAAATGGATGTGGCAGAGATGATTGTAATATATGCCTATCATGTCATCATAGTTACCATTTGTTTATCCAGTTTTATTTAATCTGCATTTGTGGACATGATCCGTGTATGGAACGAAGAATTTCCTGTTTTGTCAAAACACATGAATGTCATTACAAAAACTTCATAATCAGTAAATGATGTCAATACACATTAACATATCTTAATATCTAGCTATCACTACATGGTCAAATAAAGAAACAAAATCTAAACTTTACATTCAGCTGTCAAATAAAAAAAACTAAATACAATCTATGCTCATCGTTTATTTCTTCTTCTTGCTTTGGGAGTTTCCTCGTAGCAAAGACAGCACTTGATCACCATGCAGGTTGTTCTGATAAGTTACAAGCCACCACAAGCATCCAACCTTCAAGTAATGGATTTCTTGAGGGGATTACAAGCATCCAACATGCACAGCATACAGTCACAACCTACACATCAGACAATCACAACCTACATTTGTGTCATTCACAACATATATAGCAGCCAATGACAATCCACGCTAAACCGAATGACAACAAGAACAGCAGGAAATTACAACCTATACATAAGCAAGTGACAAACTAACAGAGGCTAATGACAACCTACACACAAGACAATAACAACCTTCACACCAACCAATCACAACATACAAATAAGCAGTTGACAGCGTACATACTAGTGAATGACAACATAGAGTAGTAAATGACAACATACAGGATAGTAAATGACAACATACAAAGCAACCAATTATAACATATAAAGAATAGTATATTCCCACTGAGGGAGTTACTTGATATAACCCTAGAAAATACAGGAATATGATGAATGAATGAGATTTGTCCATCCTTATAACAACATAAATTGGATGAAATGAACCAGAAACTACATTAAAATACTGCACTCACAAACTTCTGAGCTGTGATAGGTTTCTTAGTTCATTTGGAATCGCTCCACTTAGGTAATTGCAACTTATGCACAACAATTGACAATAACTAACATTACTTCAAAATTTAAATAATACAACTTACAAAAATCTTCCATCCTACATAACAGGACAGGTCATGGGGTCGTTAATGACAACCTTCGATCACTGTAATAACAACTTATGCACAACAATTGACAATAGCCAACATTACTTCGAAATTTAAATAATACAACTTACACAATAGCCAACTGTTGCTCTGAAACTGAGAAGCGCCTCACCTAAATATACCAGTAATAGATAATATCAATATGATATACCAAGAGAGAGAGGCTCGCCGGCGGTGGGGTGCGAAGGTCATCGATGATGGAACCCACGAGGCTCGCTGGTAGTGGGGTGTGAACCAGCGACCGACGGATCGTGCACGAGATTGGAGGCGTCCAACTAGAGACCGACTGAGTGCGGACCAGAGACCGACGGAGTGCGGAGTAGCGAGCGACAATGTACCGAGCAGACACTGACAGACCTCGCCGAAGATTGAAGCTGTCGGAGCACACAAGGATGGACACGAACGAGACGGCGATGGATTTCATGAAGATGACAACCGATAGGAGTTTTTCTCTCAATCGTGTGCTTCAGTTTCTTTCTTTAATCAGAAGGGCAAGAAAGTAATTGCACGTTTGAAATTTTTTGCCATAAAGTCCCTTGGGACCTCATATACATTTTATGATTTCATGGGACCTTTCAGTAGTAAATTCTCTTCTGTGGGACTCTACAGTAATTTTTCCAATATTATATACCCTCCCCCATTCTTTTTTGGTCAAAGTACCCTCCCCCCATTCTAAAAGTAAGGATTAGATCCCTGGTCAAAAAAAAAAAAGTAAGAATTAGATAGTTAATCTATAGATATTTAAAATTTAGTTAACTTAATCATTTATAATAAATATGTGTTACTTTTTGGCTAAACTATACTTTTAATCTTTTAATTTTACACAAGGTTTCATTTTGATATCTTAACTTTAAAAAATAAACTTTTACTATCTAATTCCAAAAACGTCAACAAAAAAGATAATATTAAATTCTTGAATGTTAATAAAATATTATTAAATGCTAATATTAAGTTTAATTTTTAAAACAACTATGATTGTTACAAAACAATCATTTAAGACTAACAATTTTTGAGTTAAAGGACTAAAAGTATACTTTTTAAAGTTAAGAGACCAAACTAAAACCTTACATAAAGTTAAAGAACCAAATGTATACTTTAGCCGTCAATTTTTTGAAAATATTTTGTTTAATTATTGCGCTTATGAAAATTTTTTTAATATATATAATTAGTAAGAATTTTTAAAAAAATTATAAACTTAAAAAAAATATGATATGCTACTTGTGATCCTTAATATAAGAATTGATTAACTAACTTAGTGGATTAAAGAAATTAGTCATGTTAGTTATTTTGTAATAAATATATGTTCTTTTTTCTCAAATACCCTTGCTAATAACGTGTATTAGTTAAAACTATTATTTGTTGATATATTTAACATGTACAACTACTACAAAAATTGCTTTGAAAAAAAATAAATAAATATGAAAGAAAAATTGAATTAAGATTTTATATTAAAGATATAAATTAAGGTCTCGTATTAAAGATAATGATGTTATATTAAGAAGTAGAAGTAGTATATTTTCGTATGGAAAGGGTGAAGATCATTAGCAACTTTTGTATTTTAGAGCTATGCTTGCTAGCTTAATTCAAAAATAATACGCTGCCACATCATTTTGTCTATATGAAGTTTGATAGTGCCCAGCACGACAGCTATTTGAGTTTTGACGTCAATTTTTATATTAAAGCGTCATTTAAAGATAAGTCCTGCGTCCTGTCCTAAACGCATAAGATTTAGTTTGTATCATGAAAGAAGCAGAGTACAACCGGTGAACCAAAACCCCAACATGGATGCTCATAATAATTTGAACCATTCAGGTTAATTTTGAAAGGTCTAAATTTAATTTAAGCTTTTTTATATTTTAATAATTTTTATTTTAATAAATACGTAATTTAAAATAAATATCATATTATAAATGACATTTTTTTTATAAAAAAAGAGATTAATTAATGTTAGAAAAATGTATATTAAAAATATTAATTATAAACAGTTCAAATCAAATTTCCATCACTGCCATGAATATATGGTACTTATAGTTGTGATGAGCACGAAATAAAAACCTTATAAAGTACTCTTCCGGTTTTTAATATAAGACTCATTTAACTAATTTAATTAGATTAAGGAAGTTAGATAAGCTAGTTAATTATAAGAAATATGACATGTTTTTTCTAAAATACCATAATCATCTTTCTTAATACCATCTCTTCCTTTTCAACTTGATTATGATTGAGAGAGTATCCATTAGGATAATTTAGAGAAAATTAATAAATATGATAAATGGGTCTTATATTTAGGATCAAAATCAACTCAACAATTGAGTCATATATTAAGGACAGGAGGAGTAGTTAAGATGTCAAAATGTTTTCATTTT